GACGTCCTGCTTTTGGCGGGACAGTCCTGCTTTTTCACAATTTGTCCTGTGTCCCGCGGTGTTTTTAAAAAGTCCCGATTTTTGGAAAGAATGTACGAACGGGCGGGAGAACAGGAAAGGAATATACGGCTTTCGGCTGCCATGTGGCTATTTCGCCAGAATATGAGTTTTATATTATTTTTGTTAATTTTATAATGTTAAACTGTAATAATTAAAAATAATTGTTGAGAAGTGATTATTGAGAACTGCTTATCAAAGTTTGCATTGTCGTCAGGCCCCGCCTTGCCCTGTACCCTGCCCCACCCCCACCCCACCTGACCCCGCCCCAGCCCTGCCCCCCAGTCATGTTGTCCCGCTTTACAAATGTTAAAATCTGGTCACCCTAGCTCTTAGGGAGTATCTGATCCAGTGATTACTAAAGTTGGATGCCACCCCCCACCCCAAAGTCACCTGGGGTGCTTGTTAAGAGTGCTGGTGAGGGCAGCGGAGCAGGGGGTGGAGCAGGGAGGAGGGCGGTAAGGAGGAATCCCTGCTGAATGGGCACAGAGCTTACGCTGGGGATGCTGAAAACATTTTGGAGATGGGTGGTAACCATGGTTGCAGAACATCGTTAGTGTATGAATGTCACATAGCTGTACACTTTAAAACGGTGAAAATGTTAAGTTTTATATTATGCTTTTCTTACCACAATAAAAAAGAAATAGTTGGCAGTGGCAAAAGGACAAAATGCTGGTGATGGCACCTTGCCCAGAAATCACCACTTCTTAAAATGCACTGGTGATTCTGGTAGAAGTGATCTGATGACTAGACTAGACTTTTTTTTTTTCTTCTCTTTATTTTTTTGAGACGGAGTCTCACTCTGTGCCCCGGGTAGAGTGCTGTGGCATCATAGCTCACAGCAACCTTAAACTTTTGGTCTTGATCAATCCTCTTGCTTCAGCCTCCCAAGTAGCAGAGACCACAGGCACCAGCAACAATGTCAGGCTTATTTTTCTAATTTTAGTAGAGGTGGGGTCTCACTCTTGCTCAGGCTGATTCTGAACTCCTGAGCTTGGGCAATCCACCCACCTCAGCCTCGAAAAGTGCTAGGATTATAGGTGTGAGCTACTATGCCCAGCCAAGTACTAGACTTTAAAAATGGCACTTTGATTACTAAGAAATGACTCCTTTTTCGGAGATCTGAAGTATCTATGGGAGGAATGGTATACTGTCTATGTTTGCTTCAAAACTGATCAGGGGTAAAGACAGTGTTGGTAGTTTATTTTTAATTGTTTTAAAATTAAATTAATTTATTTATTGTATTGACCCAGAATTAATTATAACTTGGTTTATAAGTTTTTACAACTTTTTTAAAATTTTAGATTAATATGAGGGTACAGATGATTTGGTTACATTGTTTGCATTTTTTAAGGTAGAATCCAAGTGGTAGTTGTGCCCCTCACCCAAGAGGTGTGCCCTGTGCCCCTGCACTGTGCCTCTTAGGTGAGAGCACACCAGTGTCAGCCTTGTTGATGAAACAAGGGCAGATCTGAGTTGGTAACTATTGATGCTGGGAGTTGAACACATAGGGATTCTTTACTGTTTTCTCCTTTTTGAAATAGGTTTAAAAGTTTTTGATTAAAACAAGTAAAAAAAAAAATACCCACTTGGGGGCCATGTCCAACCTCGAGTGAAATGTGAGGGCTGGGGTGGAGATAAGTGGCGACTCGCTGTAGGCAAGGAACAGGTCAGTGTGGCTGCAAAAGCCCATTCAAGGCAAGGACAGGAAGTGGCCAGACATGAGGCTGAAGGCCAGGAACGTGATGTCCTGCAGCATCCAAATGGCCTCACTAATTTTGGGGGGTGATGGGAAAACATCTGGATGTTCTGAACATTGAAAAGGAAGAATCTGCTCTGCACCTTAGACTCTGCTGGTGGCTGTGGGGAGGGTACATCTGAGGCAAGTAAGTGAGAAAGCTGTTGCAGGTGTCTGGTAAGTGATTGCAGCACCTGGACAGGGATGGCAGTCAGGATGGAGGGAAGGCGCTGGAACCAAGGAAGATTTTAGTAAATACACTTGGCACAGTTCAATGGTTACTTGCACATAGGGAAGAATGAAAAAGAGGCAAGAACAACTTTCGGCTTTCCGCTTGGTGACCTGGACCAACAGCAGTCCCACCGCCTGAGAGGATGTGCAGGAGGGTTAGCAAGTGCCATGTAACTGTGTTTTGAGAACACAACATCCTGGTAGGACTCAACATTCCAGACTGAAAACTCGGTGATTTTCCTTGCATGACACCTCCATGCTTCCTCTCCAGATCCTTCCTCTGTAGGCGACCAGGGCTGAGGGAGAAGATTCTAGTAGCATTTAGCCTAATTCCTTCCTTCTATAGTCTAAAATCCTGATTATGGTGTAATATTTTTAAGGTTAATTAACTTGTCTAAAATCCTGATAATGTTTTTAATATTTGAGAAGAAACACAACAAAAACACCCACACCTACTCTTTTCCACCAGCTCAACTAGCAGTCTTTGCTCCATTTTTAGTAGTCAAATGCCCAATGCCCCTTTTCCATCTTATCTGGAAATTCATTTCTTAAGTCTCCACCATGTTTCATTTTCTGCCCTTTGAATGATACTACACCACAATGAACTGAAAAAGATTTCCTCGTCAACCAAACCAGCCTTTTCTCAGTCCTTACAGTTCTTGCTTGGCCTTCTGCGAGATGTGACTCCTGCTGGCTGTGCACCTCCTCAAACCCTCTTGGGCTCTGAGCTCTCCTGGGTCTCACGCTGTTGTAACCCAGCCCTCTTTCCCCTGCCCACTCCTGTTCCCCAGCCCTCACCTGTTCCCTCCACCATCACCCTCACCTGTTCCCCCTCCCCAGCCCATTTTCCTCCTCCTCCCTCCTCCCCCCATGGTGGCCGAGAACATGCTTCTCAGCCACGTTGCCAGGCCCCCTCCTTCCCCTAGGGTTGCCAAGAACAAGCTTTAGGTACAAGGAAAAAAAGTCCCAAGTTTCACAAAACCCCCAAGTTCTCAGTAGATGAACAATGGTGGAAAACTCACTGAGACTTGATTAATTACTGTTGTATAACCATAACCATTGTGATATGAAATGTATCCATTGTCAACTGAAACTGTATTAATTATTGTTCCATTGCTGTATCTATGACTACCTGAATTGTAACCCCCCTTAACCAGCCACGTTTCACTTCTGTAATATGCTTACACAAAGCCTATAAAAGGTAACTCACACTCTCACTGGGTGCTGACTGTCTCTTGGAGCAGCAGCCCCTGAAGCAGGTAAAATAAATTACCAATTTAATTAACCTAAGTGGGGGTCCGAGTCTATTTCTCCAGGTCCCCTAAGTTATTTCAACGCCTTCCTCTCATCACCTCTTTACTCCTTCACCATCTGCCTCTTCTGCTTCTCCTTTCTCTAATCTCTGAGCTTCTGGCATGAGCCCAGCACTCTTCTCTTTCTACTCAGTCTCTCTGGGGCAGCAGTTCTCAATCTGTGGGTCGCGACGCCTTTGGGCTGTATTAAAGGGTTGCAGCATTAGGAAGGTTGAGAGCCACTGCTCTGGGGTCATTCACTCTGATAGCATCTATAGTTTCTTCTGGGCCATGCCCAGCCCTGACCGCAGTCCACGTGGAAAACCTGCACATTCCCCAAGCTGAGGTGCTGCTTCTGTTGGCCCCACCACAAGAGGCATGGCGCCTTCTCAAAGAGAAGGGGCTCGCTACTGGGCTGGACTACAGTACAAGGGAGATTGATAGATGAATGTGTGCTCTGAAGGGCGGGATGAGGTGGGTGAAGAATCTGAAAACAACAGCACCTGGAAACTGCTGCAAAGGCTGAGGATGATGAACTTGGGAGAGAAAGCTCTTGGAAATCCATGACAGCTTTCTTCAAATTTGAGAAAACTTGTCACATAGAATAGGGAGAGGGCTCAGATGTGTTTTTCTTCTCTTACAGAGAACAGAAATTAGGAGGTAAATTTTGTCTCCATGGGAGAAAAGTTCGTTCAGATAACTCAGGCTGTTCAACCCCAGAACGGGCTCTTGGTGCAGAGAGCTCCACCCACTGTGGAGGTGTTTCAGAAGAAACGCCTGCTCTGAAAGGGAAGCTGGCCAGACTGGGGCTGAGACCCATCTCCTCTAAAGTCCCATGCATCGCTGCCTTGCACACAGCCTGTCAGCAGCGCAGACCTAATGTGTCCAACAGGGAGTCCACCGCTCTGCTAGCAGCTGAGTATGGCACTGGTGCCGATGAGTTTACCAGCTCCCAGACTAGAAATCTCAGAGCTCCTTGCTCTTTGGGTCCCTATATCTCTGCCTCCTGGACACTGCTTTAATTTGCTCTTGATTCTTAATTTCCACTGACACCTTTATAATCCAGACCTATCCAATCATATGTGGACAGCAGTCACTGGATTTTTGAGTTGGAATAAATCCTGGACAGATGAAGCCCAATCTGTCCTTTTTCTCAGTAAGGTGAAAACTAAAGACTTAAAATTTAAAGACTAATTAAAAATTAAAAGTTGAGTAGTTGTGAGGTGTTGCCTAAGCTCCAGCACTCAAGGTACCCTGTTCTTTGCTTTCCCACAACACAGCAGCCCAGGACTGCTCCTTATCATCAGTCAGGCCACCAATACATCTCACGGCTGTGACTGCATCATGGAGGGACTGGTTATTTGTATAATATTGGGGTGATCCTTAGTCAACTCTCATGGATTCATCTAGAAATAATCCCCAATCTCCATGTGTAACAGACCACTGGGTCTGCTTTTTGTTAAATAATGCTGCTCTTTTTGGTGCTTCTCACAGACACTGCCAAAGTAGGACTGCAGAATTGTGAAATAAAGAAAAATTCTGGCCAGTTCAAGCTCTCTAGAGTCTGCAAATCCAGGTCATTTGGATACTAACTGTATCACTGTACCGCAATGAGTACAAAAATTACATAGATCACATTAACTGGCGTATGCTGATTATTCCCAGAAAGGCCCTGGACTCACGTTGGTTCTTCCGTTGCTATTCTGGTCTCTTCTAGTTCTTGCGCTTGTTTTAGCCAAGGTGATTTAGCTTCCACCGGACTTTTTTCTAAGAGAAAGGAATATAAAAAATAAGCTTAATTACTATTAATCATCAAGAAGCCAGTTACAAAAATATCTAGTGAAGATCTCATCAATAAACACATCATGTTTTGTAAATACAAGTTGAATCCTTCAGCACAGTACATTAGGTGGCTTCTGGAATGAATAAAAGTTTTCTGTCATATTTTAAAAAATGAACACATTATCAGAATTCCATAACCTAAACGATCCCATGAGAAGCTGAGTATGTTCTGAAAGTTAACATCAAAATGCCTTTCTGTTGTTTTCACAGTAAAGCTCTTACTTCAACCATATCAGCTTGCTTTCTTTTGCCAAAAATTTTTGCCCACTGAATACAAAAATTACTAAAGAAAAGCAAATAGCACAGAGGTTAAGAAAGTTAGGAGGATGAGTGAGTTTGTGTTAGTTACTCAAACCTTGACTGTTGTTGTGGTTATTGAGGGGCAATTACCAATTACAGCCGGCTCACATGGAGGAGCAAACAGGCACCCCATTCTGTCCCTTGAATTCTCCTTAGACAGAAACCACCTAGTTGTGAAAGGAAATAATTTTGGCCTGCTTGAGGAAATTACAGATCCTAAGAGAGCAGCTCCTAAAGTAGCATCAAGTGCAGAGGGAAGGAGGGAAGACCTTGCTGATGGAGTTATGTACTAAGTGCTCACACGCCTGTCTGTCAAGGCAGTGCGTGATTTTTCTGCAAGATAGACACAAATGCATATTTGTTGAATGGTTCATTATGAGACCATTTGTATGAGTAATGAACTGAGAAATAACAAAGGAGGATTTTACCATCCTCTCTAAAGTACCAAAAAAGAGTCCTTCTTACTAGTAGGTGGGAATCGTATTTTTCCATTTCAGGAAGAAAGGTACTTGTCATGACAATTGGTAAACCCTTACTAAAGTGCACACAAATAATTACTCATAGAGAGGTGCATATATTAGATAGATGATGCCAAGTCCTCCACCCTTTTCTGCTAATTCATGAGGAGCAAATGGAACTGTAGGAGAAAATGTATTAATAAGTGCCTCTATAGATCTAGACTGGGAACTGGAAGTCTTCCTTCATTCCATAAAAATGACATAGCTTTTCCCTCAAGAAAGTTACCCTCCTAGCACTTTGGGAAGTCAAGGCGTGTGGATCATCTGTGTTCAGGAGTTCAAGACTGGCCTAAGCAAGAGCAAGAGCTTGTCTCTAAAAAA